TTTTTTTGAGTCAGAAATTAGTTTGCTTTAATCCAAAGTTATTTAAAAGTTCCAGTGGGTACACAACGAAAATTACCGGCTGAATTACTATATGTACGTATTGATCGTGTATTGAGTGCATTAAAACAAATATATTTTAACATACGTATTAAACAGTCAATACTCCTTACTGGAGATGAAGGATGTGGAAAATCCAAGTTGTTATTGACACTAGCATAGTTTCATTCAAAACTAGTGCATCAGTTAAATATAACATCTGAAACTGAACCGTCGGCCTTAATTGGACAATTTATTCCAAATGAAGGAACTAATTCAGACTATTTATTATATGGTAAGAAATTAATATGGTAAAATGGTTGTATAACAGATGCCTATACAAGTGGTGATTGGGTATTATTGGATAATTTAACGAATGCTAAATCCTCTGTATTAGAATGAGTAAATCCTATCCTTGAACAAGAACCTATTCTGATTTTAACAGAGAAAGTTAAGATTGCATTGAGAACACAAAACGTTTTTGCTTCATAACTCATTATATTATCCATCTCTGCTTAGAAATTTTGTTCGTATGAAGAAAATAATCATTACAATTTACTATAATAAATTTTTCATGTGTCTGCTTCTCTCTTTCTTTCTTATCTTCTTGAATATCATCCGCATTTTCGTCTGTTTTCTTTTGTTCACGTGTTTATTGACAGCATCACGTTTAATACTCAGGAGGAAAAGTATTTTCTATAGTACAATGCTCTTTAAATAAATAATGGTATATATCACTATTGCATACCCAGTTCAAATTACAATTCGCCTTGTTACTTTAGCCAAAAGACCATATTTTGGTCTCATTGTTATTTTAATTTCGGGCACGATCTTTTGTCCTTCGACAATATCAAATTTTAGCCGTTGGAGTAACATCGACAAAATCACCTTAGCTTCTATGAGAGCGAATGTTTGTCCAATACAATTACGATTTCCAGCGCCAAATGGTAGATAACAACACGAATGTGCTAATTTTGGTCCTCCATTCATCCATCTTGTATAATCAATTTCTAAGGGACGAGGCCAAAACTGTTCCATACGATGAAGAACATACGTGTTAATAGCAATAGTAGCACCAACTGGGATACGCAGTTGTCGTTGACTGTTGGTACCAATCGTATGTTCTTTAACACACTGTCGAGCGAGAATAGGAGCTGGTGGGTATAGACGTAATGTTTCATGAAGAACCGCATCAATCACTTTTAATTTACTTAATAAGTCGTAGTCTGGTGTTAATTGTGAGCCTAACACTTGATCTACTTCGTCCTGACATGCTTCATAGACATGAGTATGTGTCATTAAAATATAAAGGCACCATGTCAATAAATTGCCGGTAGTTTCATGTCCAGCTATCACAAATCCTAATGCTTCTTCTTTTATCTGTTGCTGTGTAAAGCCTTCACCATCACTATCTTTCGCAGACAGCAACAAATCCAAAAGATCCTTACTAGAACACATACTTTGTGAAAGACCACTTTTGCGATCCAAAATAATTTGATTAACGAAACGGCTAATTTTAGCAACTGCTTGATCTAAAATTTGCTTTTTCCATAATGGCAATATTGCTAAAAATGGAATTTGTGTTATCATTAACATTGTACGATATTGTAGTAGATCAAGTGATTTGGAAAATGTTTGAGAAATACTTTCTTTTCTATTATTTGTTATTTGACCAAATGCTGACGAGATTATAACAGACAATGTCAAAGTACTTAACTCCTGTTGTAGATCGAATTGATTATTTGTCTTTGCCTCCTTTAGCCATTTCTCGATTAGTTGTGTTGTGTGATATGACATTATGCTAACCATTGACTTGAGGTTATCCGAATGAAATGCCGGTTGTAACATTCGTCGTGATTTTTCATGATGTTCATGATCAGAGAGCAACAAGTTCTGTAAACCAATTAATGAGCCAAGTTCACCACGAGCTAAATTAGATTTCTGGTAATAACGAGTAAATTTTTTTAGTACATCAGATATCAATTCTGGTTCATAGATAAACACACGAGGAAACGGGCCAAAGTTAAATATATAGATATTACCATGTTTTAAATGTAGATCACAATGATACTGCATGAATTCATCGCGAATAGCATATTGTTTCATGTCAGGTAGTTGACCAACTAGGGGACGAAACGGCTCACAAGCGATACCTTGTGACCTGAAAGCGTCATATATTTGCTTCTGTTTATATACCAATTTATAATATACACAAGCTACAATAACTATTAATACAGCGAGAATTATTGTAAATATCATAGTGAAACTTGACTGATAATATTTATTAATGAACAGTGTTCTCAAGACTTTATAGTAGCAATAGATGCACTTAATATACTAGACTCGATGAAAAGAACGCAAAAAGTGATATTACTTTATTCACCATTTACAAAAAAATATTAAATAAAATGACTATATAATACTATATTTTGTTCTTCTTTTCTTCAAGTTTCCACGATAAAGCGTGTGTACACAAAAACTGTTATCAAATTGCATATTGTGAACACAATCGTACTTTTGTTTTTTATTTATAACAAGTATAAACGTTTTATTTCATTCTTTTCCGCCTATATTTTTATAGCAGATATCATTTCTCAAATGAAAGATGTTCGATTTTGGTTGTTTTATTAGGCATCCAACAAAAATAAAAATGTCTCTTCTACCATAAGGTATGTGTGTGCAAACATTGTCATACATTTGACGTAAAAGAAGGAGAAAGAAAAAAGAAGACGGTCGATCTCCTGTTCTTTTTTCTGTTGTGAACACGAGTGTAACGCAGTCACTCAAACAGTATATCTGTCAGAACTTTCTTTTTTTCTTAGCCGAGCACATTCGTATCCCTGTGTTCTTTGTCTGTGTCGCCTCTAGGCATATCTATCCATCTTCTTCATAGCCACTGATGCCAGTCCAATATTTTCGCTTTGTAGCCAACATTATATGTTACTCGCGTATGATTAGTCAAAAAATTCCAAATGCAACCTGCGAATTCTTGATAACAATTTTCAAGTAACTTCTATATCAGAAGTCTATTTCCTGTGACAGACAAACTTAAAATGAGAGAGTTGAGAATCCTCTGCCATCCGTTGATGCAGTCCGTAATGCCAGTCGATAATGGATTTTCACCCAGTCGAGGAGTGAAAATCTGAAAGAAACCCTTTGTTTTAGATTTTCTTCCACCATGACCGAGTAATCATTTTCTGTAACGCTGAATAGTTAGCAGAGAGACTGATTAAATATTTTTCAAATGCAAACCGCGAAAAACGGCTATAACAGGAATTTGAGCCCTATCAAAATATCCGTTAGGACAAAATATAATCACAATGTACGCCGGCGTAAAGAGGCCGTTACAATGAACAGTAGCTTGTAAAAACGATGAGTCATCGGTCTTTAGCTACCGCTTATTATTTCATAGAAATCTTTAGTCACAAACAAAAATATGTTTTGATAGCGTAAAATAAAAGTCAAGTTTATACTGTCAATCCAGTAGAAAAATATCCATCACGATGGTTTAAAGCTAATATAACAAAAGACTAAATAAAATCTCCAAGTAAAAAATCTTGACTTTCTGTGGTAACTGATTGTCTTAAACTAATTGATAAGTGATGACAGTAACCCACAGTTCAAGACTCATCTGAATCGAAAACTGATCAGACCAGAACAACATTTATAACTTGTTTCATCAATTTCTTCACTGTATATTTAAAAAAGTGTTGAAAGAATAAAATGGTGCATGAAAACAACTCTATACTGACTTTTCTTCTTCACATAGCGCAAGAGAAAAAGAGAATATCTATCAAGATATACGTCGTGCATGTGCGAGAAGAGATAACTTCATTTTTGCTAGATGCTTATTATAAGGTAGTAAGTGTTCATCTGTTTTTTTTTATGTGGAAAAGTGTTTTACGTACTCAACTAAAACCAATTGTTTCTGTTTTCGATTTTTTTATTACAAAAAAGATTCATTTACGTATAATCTATGCCTGCAGGAACAAATAGATGCTTTACTTTGTGGAGAGAGTTATCTATTGTGTAAACATATTTTTCTGATTGATATAAAG